AATATCAGGCCATGAGAACAAAACATTGTTGATACTTATCATGTAAATATGAAATCCTGCCAAAACAGTTTTAGACAGATGCTTTTAAATAAAGTTTTTGTTTTTTAAAGAAGAAGAACAAACGGTGATGAGAGAAAGCAACTTCTCATATGATTAAGTGAATATGCCCCCAATCCGCATCCCAGACGCACACACACACACAGACAGAGAGAGAGAGAGAGAATCATGTGTGATGTAGGCGTGACTGGAGCCACAGGTTCAGTATAAAGTGAGCATGAACTCTGGGATGAGAAACAGTACTGTTCCAGTGTTTTCTTTTGTTCGTTCTTTCCTGGAAGTGAGACATCATGAGAGTGGAAGGTGCGGAATAAAACTGAGAGGCACTCAGGATTCTTACCAAGAAAAAAAAAAATCAAGGTAACTTAGAAAAAACACTGAATTTGATATCCATGTTTGTATAAATGTATTATTTATTCTTAAAATCATGATATTTCCTGTCACGTTATACATCTCTGCCTGCCTCAACTTCAGTTCCTTGTGCAGAGCGATGAGGCTGGTCTGGGAAACTGTGGTTTCAGCGTTTTTTCTAATGTAATTTCTACTCCTGTCATTTGTACTGGCTATCCACTCTTCTCCAGGACTAGCTGTGATGATGGAGAAAGCTGCACTGCTGCTTTGCTGCCTGATCATGACTTTGTCAGGCTCCCCACTCTACCCATCCATTAGGTAAGTCCTGACAAAATCACTCAAATTCATTAGGTGTTGTTCATTTCCATTTTTACTGAGGTTTAGGCATATTTTGAAAGTTACGTAAACCCTTTGCTTAGTTCATCTGTTCAGCTTTGGGAATGCCGATCAATGACAGCATTGGATGATTACACAAAGGGAACATTTTTTGTAAACTCATGGCAAATCACACCAATATGCACTATATATATGCATCATTTAGCTGAAATGTTTAGAAGCCTTACCAAGTGACATAGAAAAAATTCTTAATATTCAAAATCTGAATTAAACATTAAATATAACATATTTGATCTCTGTCAGGATTAGAAAAAGGGTCGTGTCGATGCTCATCTAACAGTTGACTCTTTACATAGCTGTGTCCTCTGTACTTCTGCTAAAAAGGGTCAAGATGTCTGGATTAGTCACCGCGTTACGTTTACGAGGCATCATCGTCACAGTGTCGTGTACCAAAGCTGCAGATGTAATTTTTCACGCGCTAAAGCATTTTGCAGACTGATGATATTTTCTTTTCTTTTAAATCTGTCGTCTTTACAAAGACTCTGCACTACTATGAAATCATATATCTTGCTAGATAAAGGGCTATGTTTGAATAATGGCATTTAAGATGTTCTGCATTCATATAGTTCATGGGGATGTTTCTCAGGTTCGGCCAGAGGGATACATCTATCCTGATGACATCTTCACTAAAGAATCCAGCAGAGCAGCAGGAGGAAGACGCACGTCCTCCCAGGGAGCCAGCAGAGTTGCGGTCCGTATGTTAATATGGTCTGAGAGGCTAATGTAAAATATGGCTCAAAGGCTCAGCTAATGAAACGTCCCAGTCAAAGTGGATCATTTACACAGTTTTTTAATGGGGATTCTTGATTTATTAGAAGGTACATCATTTTCAAAGATATGTAAAAAAAATACACACAGCTGAATACAATACAAGCAAACATTGGACTACAGATAGTCTATGCTGGACCTAAATCTTTATATTTTGACCTATAGCCTTTTAGATATGGAGCTACATTTTATTAAAATAGTGCATAAAGTTTTGGCATCATTCATTTATGAATTAATTATGAAATGTGGCTAAGATCGATCCACCCCATAATACAGCCTGTGCTGCAAATATAACATATTTCTAATGTAAGATGGGGAAATATTGTTTTTCTACAATATTATGATTTAATTGCACATTACTTAAAATTGATTGTGCAGTGAACATGCACTTGTCATTACAGTATATTTCTTTGTTTCCTGTAAAAACTTCACTTGTTACTTTCTTATTTTGGTGTACTTACCTTTAAATATTCATAGGTAACCATGACTACATTGTAATTTCAAAGCAAATATGTTGAAATTCCATTTGATTACAGGGTAATTACACCTTTAGTTGCAGGCCGTATTATAAAGTTTTGCTAAATGTGTCTTAATACTTCGAACTTCCTTTATTCCTTTAGTGTGGATGCATAAAAAGATGTGAGCAAATTGTAAATCGACCGCTGGCCAGCTCCCAGACAAATCCTGCCGCTGCACTGCAGTTTACTTTATTTTCTGCTTACACTGACTGAACTGATGCAAACTGTCCACATTTCTGATTCCAGCTTAGGGCGCCACGCTGATGCCATCTTTACAAACAGCTACAGGAAAGTCCTGGGCCAAATCTCTGCCAGAAAGTTCCTTCAGACAATCATGGGCAAACGGCTGGGGTAGGTAACACAAGTGGAATGAAATCGCTCCAATGTGTGTGGGTTACCAGGACAAATAGCCAGTGAAAGAGGAATTATTGTGGGGTTTGTTTGTTTTTTCCCCACAGGGATGGAAGTGAGAGCTACATGAAACGTCAGTCAGATATCTATGAGGGGACATACAAGGAAGACCTCACAGCCATCCAGAGAAATCAGAGATACAGGGGGGTGCACGGGAATGTCCTGAGACACAGGTATACACGTCTCCAATCTTTAAAAAGCCTAAACATTCAGAATTTGACTTTTCCCACAACTGCAGATTCACTAAACTGAATCTTTTCTCTTTACAGACTGCTGAGTTGAGGAGGAAAGCTTTATCATCACATTTTTTTAACCATCTTTTATTTGTTTGAGGGTGTCCTTTAAAGAAAAGAAATGAAATCGTCTTATATATTCACATTAAAAGTTGTGAGGAAATCCTACAGCCTAGCTTATCATTGTGTGTGTGTGTGTGTGTGTGTGTGCGAGGGGGCGTCGGGTTATTCAAACACCCAAATCAAACTATGTGACCAGATTTCATTTTAAAAAAAACCCTTTAGTGGCTTTCTGATTGTGTATCTTTATGAAACGTGTATCTTATGTGAGGATTGTCTCAAGAATGTGTCTTCGGGGCCATGTCTGCATTATAAAAGCCAACTCTGTGTTACAGGTTTCCTGCTATGATTAACAGATGCGGCCTTGATGGCTGTTAAATGGCCGTGCGTGTTGATGTTACTGCACATCTGCACCTTTTCTTTAACATTTCAAGATGTTTCACGAGACAAAAGATGTGATATTTAGAAAGCTTGTATGGAAATGAAGTACATATTTGAAGCAATAATATATTTTATGAGTTTAAAAAGAACTCTTGCTGTAGTCACATGCAACTAGTAGTTTTTGCTGCCTAATGCGACTCTTCAAACACTGCAGATGAACTGGATGTCATTCTGCTGTGTTCTGTACCTGTTGCACTACAGTATGTGCTGGCATTACCATTAGCCTGTAATTGCCTACTGTGGCCATCATGGACACGCTTTATAGACTACACAACTCCACCGAGTGTGAAACACCTTCAAAGATCCCTCCATAGGTACCACGGAGCACCTTAACTCTGGGAAGGTGAACTGTTTTTATCTTGTGTGAAGACTGATTAAAAAATATCCCTTTAAGGGAAACACATGTGTGTACAATAGCGGGGAGTGTAATCACGGTACTGTCTGCACAACTGAGGAACAAACCCCAGCAGGCGGCTGGACTCATGGCAGCACAGGTGCTGCTTCTAACATTGTCTTAATAACAGCTCTGCTCCATTTAGAACTCTCATTAAGCTCTGCCATTGATCCATAACGTACAAACACCAGTACCCGACATTTGAATCATCCATGAATCGGTTCTATGGATTAATAATCTTCGCAACCTGTCATTTGATCTGACTTTGAATTAATGTTATCCACAACCCAAGTGAGGCCAAGTGACGAGCTTTTGAGGTGATTTCTATGAGTGATTCTTAGTGTTTAGGCTAAAAGTTGCTCTCTGTTCCTAATGCTTCCTCCAGCCTGCTCCACTGTGTGCAGGAGAAGAGCCGAACATGTGTAGCTCTTTGTGAACACACTGATGCCTTCTACGTAAAGAACAATAAATCTCCCTCAGGTCATTTTCTCTGCATCAATGATTACAAGACTTACTGAAAACATCACAAAATGCTGACAGCTACTTCACTTAATGCTGGCGTCCATTTTTATATACAGATGTAAAGCAGTTTTCAGATAACTATAAAATACTTTTAGTGCCACACTGCTGGTTTCATTTTCTTTCAGCTCCTTGCTTAGAGAATTTTTTGAAATACTAATAATTTTATTCTGTGATATATTTTTATCAGACGAAGCATTTTTCACAATAAATTCCTAACTTTCTGAGATAAAAGTATTCATCTTTTATCTTATATAAGCTATAGTAATATGTTATATTCTGACTGCACTACAAAATAGCAAACTCTCCACTTTTTCTCTGAATTTTTGGGGGCTTTGTTTTTATTTTTATTCCCACAATCTGCTCATTTGCATTCAGTACATGTAGCCGCCCTCCACTCAGACCTGCAATAAATTCAAGGCTGCTGTGGCTCACGAGAGAGCAGGTCATCTACCAATCAGAGGGTTAGTAGTTCAATCTCTGGCTATTCCAGTTCAAGCACCTTAGAGTCCTTAGGTGAGATACTGAACCCTGAATGGCCTCTGACGCATTCAGTGGAGTGTGTGGGATCACTAAAGGTGTAGCTTTTAAAAGCAGCAGTGTGACTTTGATTAAGAAAGTACTATGGCAGGTACATTTATCATTTATCTAATGTGTTTAGGAGACACCTTTAGATTGCAGCTGGAAAAAGAAGAATGTTTTTACCCAAGCAAATATCATTTCTTTCTCCCCTGTGATGGCAAAAAAATAAAATATATAAGAGATAAATATATAATCAATTTGACATACACAAAAAACCCACTGAGCTCATATTCTTCTCTATAATAAGAAAAAGAAAGAAACACGTGAGACTTGACCTCCCCAGCACCTTTATTTCCTGTTCTTCTTTACAAAAACATCCTCAAATTGCCCTCTTTTTTTTTTTTTACTTATTAACAGACTTTCTCAGAGACATCGACTCTGTATCAAATAGGAAACAGCCACAGAAATGTTCCATGTGTCAGTATTACTGCCAATATGGTTCATTAACAGTTAAAAAATGTTACGAGGTGAGCTGAGGGACAAAAAAGAGGAATGTACCAACAAAAAAACAAAAATGAGGGGGGCAACAAAAACAGCTCACAATAAGAAAACAAATCTCACAGGAAGATGAAGTGCAATGATCAGTAGCTCCACAGTCCTCTGCACTGAGTGTTATTCCAGACTCCCAGAGACGTGGTGATATTTCAATTTCTTCCATTTGGCAACACAGACAAACTGCATGCTCTTTTCGTCCCATTTTCTCTTAAAAAAAACATCAAAAACAAACAAAAAACAAAACAAGGTTTTGATGGAAACAACAAAACAATCCTCATCTTCTTTTTTTCTTGCCCCTATTTTTTCTGATTTCTGTGGAGAGAAACAAAAACAAGCATTAGTTATTACAGACATGACAATGAATGAATGAATGAATGAGAACCTCTCTGGGTTCTCACTGAGCACCTGATCACTGACAAATCATGGATCATGCATTCTGATGTGCACCCTACCACAAAACACAGTGTAAGTAGGCAAAAACACAGAGCAACCAAAATCTCTCAAGTCGTGGACGATGCACGGACATGGACACAAAACACATCTCTCAAATGTAATGGTACAACCAGAACCACGAGTGTTAGACAACACAATGGAGGGACTGTCCAAGTGGCTGCATGGCTATGGTTGTAGGGATCGTGGTGGGATGAGTGAAGAGGCAAACCAGAGGGGGATGAGGGGGGATGGCAGCAAGTACATGTGAACACTCGGAGTTAGAATGAGCACCACACAGCCATGCACGCTGCGAGACATTATGGAAATGCGCAGTGGATGCAGTCTGTGAGGATGCCCTTACTTCAGCCTGGAAGCAGAACCGACTCATTTGTTACAAATGGGGGAGGCTTTATCGAAGGCTTCTATACTTTGCCAATCTACTACTTTGCTCTGCAGCAATCCTGTAAGACAGCGAGGTGTGGATAGAAGGGTTAAAGAAAAGAAAAGAGAGCTTCACGACACAAAAACTAGCCTGGAAGAAGGAAAAAAGTCCTCAGTTGGAGAATGACATTGGTGAAATCGTTAATTGAAATCTTCTACGTTGTTAAATGGGCTGTTGTGAGATCAAGAGGTAAAGGCGGACAATTACAAAGCGAGCTCTCGAGTCAGAGACAAATTGCTCACTCTGGCCCTCAAAGAGCTCTACATAATCACGGTGAAGAAATTGCCCCCTGATATCGTCACTGCTTTCACTCCTTTAGATCGTGCTGCTGTTCTTCTCTCCTCGTCCAAGTATGCACAAGCTCTTCTACTGACAGAGAGCCTGATATCGAAATTAGCCTCTGCAGGCCCACTGAACAGCTACGAATATAGAATAGGCACTTTCCCTCAAGTTTGGAGATAAGAACTACCTAGAGGCCTCACAGCACTGAAGTCCTTGTTATCTGGAAAAGGCCTAGGCTTTCTCTCTACCATTAAGGACTCTCTAGGAGCCATTTGTGCCAGTCGCATTTGGCAGGCGTACCTCTTCACTGCTTTCTGGGCCAGCATGCGGTTTCCGGCGAGGAAAGTTACACCGCCGATGATTGCCAGGTACTTCAGAGTCTGGAACATGTTCAGGTGGGTCCAGTAGACGTACATCAGGCCCAGCATGGCTGAAATGAAACAACCAAATAGATTTGAACATTAATGACCACCCAGCCAAGTTCCCCATCTCCACTCCTTCACACCATATAGAATGCTCCAATGCTATGATATACTGAGCCATAGTCCTTTGAATTTGACATATATCTTCATGGTAACAAAAGGAAATAATTATAGAATAAAACCTTTAATAGTTTTACTGGAAGTAATACAGTTGAGTAAAAACATGTGAATGTTTAACACTGTCTGAAAAAATATTCCTGTGGTTTGGACAGCCAGCCACAGCCATTAACAGAACTGCAGCCACCATCCTGTTGCTCTGTAGTAGCTATTGTGCTGTCACATCATTCACTCTAAAACTGACACTATAGCCTACATGTGTTAGTATCATGGATCACATTAGCTGGTTAATTAAGCTTAAGCTTAAATTTCAAAACTTACATTTTAACTACTGATTTTATCTGTTTTGATTTTATATACTGTTTTGTTTGTTTGTTAATTAGTTAGTTTGTTTGTTTGCTTGTTTTAATCAATTTTAAATCATGCTTTTTATTTGTTTTTGTTTCTAATGTCTCTGTAAAGCACTTTGAATCACCTTGTTGTTGAATTGTGCTATACAAATAAACTTGCCTTGCCTTAATTAATATGCCAACTCAACGAGCATTTAACAAGTGCCTTCTTCCTAATCTCTCATCCTACTCAGCTTACAGAAACCACGCTCTGTCCTGACATCTGCAAACACGTTGCTGATGAGTTTATGGGCTCAGTCACTTGTTA